ATGGTGAGTGTGGATTCGGGGGCAGGGAGGTGAGGAGGGAAGGTGAAGGGAGGACTGAGGGTGAGGAGGGGAGGGAGGGAGGAGGGGTGGAGGAGGGAGGGAGGACTGAGGGAGGAGGGTGGAGGGAGGGAGGGAGGTGAAGGTGAGGAATTTTACGGGGATGTGGAGGTTGGATGGAGGGGATTAGGGTGTGTGTGGATAGGGAATGGGAAGGGAGGGGGTTTTTATGGATGGAAAGATTGTGGATTAAATGGATGAAGATTTTTTAATTGTGTGGATGGAGAGAATCCCTGATGATTTTGTGGATGGAGAAAACATGTGATGTGGATGGAGAAGAAAGTTCGATAAGTGGATAGAAGGAATATACGATGTCTGTGTGGATAGAGAAAATGCGGGATGAGTGGAAGGAGGGAATATTCGACGATCGTGTGGATAAGAGAGAATGCAAGGGAAGCTCTGGTAGTTTCTGTGGATATAAGAGAACAAAGAGAATATATAATTTGAAATGGGTATCACTCTACAGGAAACGCGAAGAATTACTCAAATTAGAGTGGTGAAAATGTGAATATTTTTGTTGATTGTTTCAAATGTAAATAACGTATGAACTCCAACATGAAAGGAAAATGACAACAATTGAGAAAACTTTTTATTAAAAAATCTGTTAAAAACACTTGTATTTCGAGTTTGAAAACAATATAAATGTTGTCCCTTTATTTGTTTAGAGAAATAGATATACCTCACTTCAATATGAGTCGATTTTGCTTGTTTATGAAAGATCATTTCTAGCTTATGAGTCGATTTTGCTTGTTTTGATTTGATCAGCGTTCCTTGCTTACGAATCCCACGAATTAGTTACACATCAACTCTCCTTACTTACAAGTCAACCATCCTCGCTTCTAAAACAACTCTCCTTACTGACCAGTCAAATTTACTTGTTTATAAATCCCACGAACCACTTAGAATCAACCTTCCTTACTTACAAACCAACTCTCCTCACTTTCCAAACCAACTTTCCTCACTTCCTTCCTCGAATCCACTCTCCTCACTAAACCAACTTTCCTCGCTTCCTTGCTCACTTCCCTCCCTTCCTCGAACCAACTCTCCTCACCAAACCAACTTTCCTTACTTCCTCGAACCAAACCAACTTTCCTTACTTCCTTCCTCGAACCAAACCAACTTTCCTTACTTCCTTCCTACTTTTCCTTCCTTCCTCGAACCAAACCAACTTTCCTTACTTCCTTCCTCGAACCAAACCAAACTTTTACTTCCTTCCTCGAACCAAACCAACTTTCCTTACTTCCTTCCTCGAACCAAACCAACTTTCCTTACTTCCTTCCTCGAACCAAACCAACTTTCCTTACTTCCTTCCTCGAACCAAACCAACTTCCCTTCCTTCCTCGAACCAAACCAACTTTCCTTACTTCCTTCCTCGAACCAAACCAACTTCCTTACTTCCTCGAACAAACCAACTTTCCTTACTTCCTTCCTCGAACCAAACCAACTTTCCTTACTTCTTCCTCGAACTTCCTTACTTCCTAACCAAACCAACTTTCCTTACTTCCTTCCTCGAACCAAAACAACTTTCCTTACTTCCTTCCTCGAACCAAACCAACTTTCCTTACTTCCTTCCTCGAACCAAACCAACTTTCCTTTACTTCCTTCCTCGAACCAAACCAACTTTCCTTACTTCCTTCCTCGAACCAAACCAACTTTCCTTACTTCCTTCCTCGAACCAAACCAACTTCCTTACTTCCTTCCTCGAACCAAACCAACTTTCCTTACTTCCTTCCTCGAACCAAACCAACTTTCCTTACTTCCTTCCTCGAACCAAAACCAACTTTCCTTACTTCCTTCCTCGAACCAACCAACTTTCCTTACTTCCTTCCTCGAACCAAACCAAACTTCCTTACTTCCTTCCTCAACCAAACAAACTTTCCTTACTTCCTTCTACTTCCACTCCTTCCTCGAACCAAACCAACTTTCCTCGCTTCCTTGCTCACTTCCCTCCCTTCCCAGCAGAGGCAAATGACTGGGAGAGCATCGTCCTGTACGAAGGGACGCCAGCAGACAACTACACTTTTCTTGAGGTCAGCCAAGAGGTCATTCCCGGAGACGTCTTCTTCATTCAGGGGCCAGTCTTGAGGAGGTGGGTTGGAGGGCTTGGCTTTTGGGACCTTTTCTCCTCTTTTAATTTTTTTTCCTTTTATTCTTATTTTCTTTTCTTCTTTTCCCTTTTTTTTTTCATTATCGTCTTTATGTTCTTGTTTTTTTTTTCTTCCTCTTTTTTATTAAATTCTTATGCTTCGTGTTTTTCTTCTACGTTGTTGATTTTTTTTCGCTTTTGCTTTTTTCTTTTTATTTTTCATTTTGCTTTATTTCTCTCTTTTTTCGGGGGGGGGGTATTTTTTCCTTCTTTACTTCTGTTTGATTTTGTCTTTTTGGTCTGATTCTTTTCTCATTCAGATATTTTTTTATCTATTCTATATTCTTCTTCTCCTTCTCCTCTTCGTCTCTTCTTCTTCTCTTCCTCTTTTTCTTCTTCATCTCCTCCTCCTCTTCCTTCCTGTTCCTCCTCTCCTTCTACTTTACTACTTTTTTTCTTCTCCTTATTTCGTTTCACTCTATGTCTTTTTTTCTTCTCCATCTCCTTCTCTTCCTCCTCTTCCATCTCCTTCTATTATACTACTTTTTTTTCTTCTCCTTTATTTCATTTCATGCTATGTTTTTCTATTCTTTTTCTCCTTCATCTTCTTTTATTCTTCCATTTATTTCATTTTATTTGTCTTTCGTCACCATCTGCGATTTCAGCCATTTTTCTTATATCTTTTTTGTCTCCTTTGATTTTTTTCTTCATCCAATGACGTCTTTTAATATGTTGGGTTTTGGATTAATTATCCTCTTTCTATTCATCTTTATTCCTCTCTCTTCATCGGCTTAAAAAAATGTAATTTTCTCATCTTGACTTTGCGTTACATTCGTACATTGTCTTTGTTCATTGTTTCATAATTTCTGTTTATCATCATGTAACATATTGCTGTTGATTCTTTCGCTCATCACATTATTTTCTTCTTTCCGTTTTTTATTACATATTTTTTTTTTATCCAATTCTTATACACAACTTCTTTCTTCCTTATTTCTTCTTATTCTTCTTCAATAACTTCTTATTTAATTTTTTCTCCTCCCCACAGACCATGATTTTTATCCAATTCTCACACACATCCTCTTTCTCTATTTCTTCCTCTTCTTTAATAACTTCTTAATTCCTCTTCTCCTCTTCTCTCCTCCCCACAGACCATCCTCTTTCTCCCCTATTCTTCTTCTTCTTTAATAACTTCTTACTTTCCTCTTCTCTCCTCCCCGCAGACCATAATTTTTATCGGAATCTCACACACATCCTCTTTCTTTCTTTCTTCTTCTTTTTCTTCAATAACTTCTACTTTCCTCTTTTCTCCTCCACACAGACCATATTTTTTATTCATCCAATTTTCACACACATCCTCTTTCTTCTTTTCTTTTTTTTCTTCAATAACTTCTTATTTTCTCTTCTCTCCTCCCCACAGACCATAATTTTTATCCGATTCTCACACACATCCTCATTCTCCCTTTCTTCTTCTTCAATAACTTTTTACTTTCCTCTTCTCTCCTCCCTACAGGCCATATATATTTTTTATTCATCCAATTCTCACACACATCCTCTTTCTCCCTTTCTTCTTCTTCAGTAACTTCTTATTTACTATTTTCTCCTCCCCACAGACCATATTTTTTATCTATCCAATTCTCACACACATCCTCTTTCTCCCTTTCTCCTTCTTCTTCAATAACTTCTTACTTTCCTCTTCTTTCCTCCCCACAGACCATATTTTTTATCCATCCAATTCTCACACACATCCTCTTTTTCCATTATTTCTTCTTCTTCTTCAATAACTTCTTACTTTCCTCTTCTTTCCTCCCCACAGACCATATTTTTTATCCATCCAATTCTCACACACATCCTCTCGTTCCATTATTTCTTATTCTTCTTCAGTAATTTCTTATTTCCTCTTTCTCCCTTTCTTCTTCTTCAATAACTTCTTACTTTCCGCTTCTCCCTTTCTTCCTCTTCTTTAATAACGTCTTATTTCCACTTCTCCTCTTCTCTCCTTCACACAGACCACTCGAGTCATCGGATTCCCCCACAGAAGACCCTCCTGAAGGCGACACTGTAGACGGGGAACAGACAAGCTTCGAGCACCTCTTCAGCGCTGTTGTCAAACGTCCTTCTAAACTGCAGATTAATCACACTTGTTATATTACCGGTGAAGATGTTGTGCTCACCGTGTTTCATGCGGTGGGTGTTCTCTCGAGAGGCTGTGTGTGGTGTAGTGTTGGTGGAGTGTGTGTTGTGTGTTTGTAGTGTAGTGTGTAGCGTGTAGTGTGGTGTGTGTAGTGCGTAGCGTGTAGTGTGTATATATAGTGTGTGTGTGTATATATAGTGTGTAGTGTATATAGTGTGTAGTGTGTAGCGTGTAGTGTGGGTGTGTATATGTAGTGTGTGGTGTGTATATATAGTGTGTAGTGTGTATAGAAAGTGTTTAGTGTGTATATATAGTGTGTAGTATGTATATATAGGGTGTAGTGTGTATATGTAGCGTGTAGTGTGTATATGTAGTGTGTAGTGTGTATATGTAGTGTGTAGTGTGTATATATAGTGTGTGTATATGAAATGTGTGTGTGTATATATATTGTGTAGTGAGTATATATAGTGTAGTGTGTATATCATATGTAGTGTGTTTTGTAGTGTGTATATAATTTGTAGTGTGCAGTGTGTGAGTGTCTGTTTACTGTGTTATGTTTAGTGTAGTGTAGTGTGTATATGTGTGTGTGCGTTCTTCTGCATGTATTGTGTACGCATCTACGTACACATCATATACACGCCTCTATCTATTGACATCCATTCATCTATGCACAGAATACGAGGTCCTAGGCTCGGCTGTGACCTCCTGCC